CCTGCTGAAAATTAACCATTTCAGAAAAGGAGGAAAATAAAGTCTTTCTGTTCACATGATCTGAAGATTAGTCTACAGTGTTTGGTGAGGAGTAAAGAACAGTAAAAGTGCCTTGGAGAAGGCAAAGGAGCTATGCTAATGGCCAAGTCAGGCTAACAAAGACATGCTGCTGCCCTGTGGGTTCCTGCATCTCTTGTTCTGCAGCTTTACATCAGGATAAAACCCTTTGGACTTTAGCACCTTGGGAATCTGACCTGGTTTAAGATTTATTCAGCACAATGCACTCAGACAGAGTTTCAGATGTGAGCTGCAGTTCAGAAGATCAATTACTGTTTTTCATTCTGCTGTTATTCCTGAGGGTGCATTTGCAATTTAATTAATTTTTATGTAGGGTTCTTCCATCCCCCATTGACACTTTCCTAGTAAAAATATCAGCTCTGCGAGATTCATATCCTCACTTAGCTTTAATCTTATGGGCTGAGATCCATCTCCATTCGTAGCAAAGCTGTCTAAGAGCACTCTGCTTAAATCTCAAGCAGAGGAACTGCCAAGATTAAAAACCTCCATGGAAACAGGGGGTAGGGAGGAGTGGGGAAATAGGGCTTCAGTGGACAATACCAATGGATCCCAGTGGATTTGCATGGGACCCTCTTTTGTAGCATTGTTCATATAGCAGCAGCATCTTTCTCACTGAACATCTCAGTCCTTGGTAGCACATCTTCAGTGGCTTCCTGCTGTTGGATCCTGGTAAAATAAATGTACCCTTGACATGAAGTTACTCACACAAATACCATTCATGTGGGCTGAGAAGTGATACTAAACATCCAACAAGCTTCCTGCTGTGTCCTTGGCTGATCTGGGAGGGGATATCAAATCTGTGAGGTGAGAAGTTTGGGATCTCCAAGTCCCAGGAGAACAGGAGGAGGCAGGAGGCTCTATTTATTTGTTAAATCACTGCCATTCATTCCCCAGCTTTGCTGAAGTCTGAAATGTCACAGGCTAGACAACACAGCTTAAGTCTCCTGCATATGTGTGCTCTTGTCCTTTTGTCTGGAAGCATCCTAGGAAAACCAATTCAGCATCAAGAATCTGAAAATTTTATTTGTATTTCAGGCAAACTTGTGCTTTGTAGACATCGACAACCATTTCATCGAGCTGCCGGAGGAGTTCCCCCAGTTCCCCAACAAGCTGGAGTTTATCCAGGAGATCTCGGAGGTGCTCCTGCAGTTTGGGATCCCACCGGAGGGCAACCTGCACTGCAGCGACAGCGCCACCAAACTCAAGAACCTGGTTCTTAGCGACTTGGTGAACGACAAGAAGAACGGGAACATCCCCAGCAACGCACTCAACATGTATGAGCTGCTGAAGGGCAACGAGACGATCGCCCGCCTGCAGGCCCTGGCCAAGAGAACGGGTGTGACAGTGGAAAAAATGACCATCACTGCGGAGAAGGAGAAGGATGGGAAATTGCCCTGTGAGGAGGTGGAGCTGAGGGACTACAAACTGAACGTGCAGCTCCGGGAGGTGTTCGCCAACCGCTTCACGCAGATGTTCGCAGACTACGAGGCTTTCGTCATTCAGGCAGCCCCCGACATGGAGTCGTGGCTGACAAACAGGGAGCAAATGCAAAACTTTGACAAAGTAAAGATAGCTGTGTATTCATTTTTCCATCTGAAATTGCTTTTGGGAGGGAGGGAGAATAGCTACATGATGTAGATATAGCCTAGGTGTTCTTTGATCCACCGTTCATCATCTGCCTCACCAAGAGATTTGTCCATTTTGGTTAGAAAGGGCCCAAGCACCTGCCAGAGTAAATCGGTGCAGATCTGCTGAGCCAGGCAGAGCCATCTTGCCTTGTATGAACCACACTGGCTTTCCTCTGCCCAGCTGATGGGGCTTCTCCTGTGGGTTTGGTGGAAGGGTAGCTGTGGAATGTAACTTTTCAGAAAAATTGTATAACTTTTTATTTGTTTGCTGAGAGAAGAGGTGCACACAGGAGACAAAAAAAATACAACAAATCCAGTCTTTCATATTTCCTAACTTCACAGTAGAGGTTTTTGTTAATGGGCAGTGTTTTTCTGTAGAAGGCTACCACCTTGTTATGGCAGAAGAGTGCTGTTATGACTCCCTTGCAGTGTGTACACAAGAGTGAAAAGGAAGCTGAGATTAGAAATTAGGATATAAAAAGACTGTTGGCCTGCAAAAGGAATGAGAAACATTTGGAAGCTTGCACTGTTTTTATTTCTGAATGACATTGCAAAGTAGATAGCACTTACTGCTGTCAATTTTTTTCAGATGCCAGTCTGTTTCCAAGGGGAATGTTAGAGGGATAAACAGTCAGGAACAGACTGAATATTGATCTGAGTCAGTTTTTGATTTAAAAAAAGTGCTGCCATGCCTTTTTGTTCTTCTTGTTTGCATTCAGGTGTTGAACAAGTGCAGCTTTCAGAGAGGAGGTTGTTTAGGCCACCTCTGCTAATAATTCTACAATAAAATGGGCTGTTATGGTTAGTGCTTTCAAAGCTCAGAGATTTAGGCACACACTCATATTTAATTGGAAATTCATTACTAATTGCCCTGCTTAACTTCAAAGAGCATTAGCTGAAGAGCACTTTGCACCCTTTGATATGGAGGACACCTTAAGTGATCTGGTCTCAAGCAGGGATGCACAGACCAGAGGTCCTAAGTGGGCACACGTGGTGGTGGTGGTGGCCTGTGGGTTGCACAGGGCTCATTCCTGCAGGTTGTAGCTGCTAGGCTGCTTTGAAAATGCTGGCAGTATGGGCACTACTTTGGTAACTCCATATTCCTTTTTCTTGAGCTGTCACAAAGCCTCCTAACCACTTAATTTCTCACAATTCTGACCAAAGAGGTGACCTGTGAGCCAAGTCCCTTCATAGATAGATTCACACCTCTCCAAGAGGTGTTCCTGTGGTGGGGAAGCCTTGTCCAAGCCTTCCTATTGGCTGCTGGATCAGTTCGTAGTGTCTATGCCAGGTGGGAATGTGGCACTAATGAGCTGTTCTGTATTTCAGGCTTCCTTCCTTTCGGACCAACCCGAGCCTTATCTCCCATTCCTTTCACACTTCATCGAAACACAGATGTTTGCAACCTTCATAGACAATAAAATAATCTCCCAGTGGGAAGAGAAAGACCCTTTTCTACGAGTTTTTGACTCCCGAATTGAGAAAATACGGCTATACAATGTCAGGGCCCCTGCGCTGCGGACATCCAACTATCAGAAATGCAGCACTTTGAAAGAAGCAGGTAAGTTCAGATGGGCTAGTAAAATATTCAAAAGTACAATGTCAGCCACAAAGAAATACAGGTCCTCCATCACATGAGCATTGCAGCTGGTAAGGCAGTCCTAGACTCTTGGTTTCCTTATTTTCCCAGGACAAAAACTTCAGTGTGCTTTGACATGCTAAATACAACAGCAGCGTTTACCTTCCCTTCGAGCTCTCCTAGGCTGGTGCTTTTAATAAGCACAAACCTGACTGTGGAGCTGGGCCCAATGTTTCTGATTCCAGGCAGCTCCTGCTCCATTGCTGGGAGAGCTTTCCTTCACTGTAGTAGTGGGACCAGTGCCAGCCACACTTAAGAGCTGAGCCCTGGTGTCTGCTCCACTGGTCTCATCTCCCCTTTCTTGTAAAAAGACCTTTCTTTTTTTCCCCTTACACCACTTGGTTAGAGGAGTGGGGAGTGCCGGGGATCAAATCCTGTGTGGCATATTTAGTAGTTCCAGCAATAAATGCAAACAATACTGCATGTACTAAAGATTTGGATAATTTTTTTTCCATTACAGTCACAGAATGCCTTTTCAAGTTATACTTGAGTTTCTTACTGTGCAAGTATTTATTTCATTTCCAAGTAATACAGGGAAATTATACTCTTAAATTGGCTGAGAAACATAGTAATGAACTGGGGAAAACACATTTCTCATGGTGTTTTTGTTTGTTGTTGCTTTTTATTTCCTTGAGAGTGTTTTACTTGTTAATGTCACAGAAATAGAAATCCTGTGTCAGCTTAAATTTTCTGTTTAAAACCAATTCTAATTTGCAGGTCGACTGTCTATTCAGCGTCTAGTTTTGATAGATATTGTGGCACCAGAACCTCATTTTCTGTCTTGTGAAAAGCAGCAAACTGATAGTAATACCAACTTTCTTTTGTATTTACCATTCACAATATATGTGACCCTTGCACAGATCCAGCACCTGTTTGTTTAACCTACTATTTTTTTAACACTTCAAACCCTCTGACCTCACAGTATCCAGCCCTTTTTTTCCAAAATAAAAACATAGGAAGTGTTTTTATATTTTTTTTTTAGAGAGAGGGGACATAAAACTGCCAAGTTTCTAATTATAATGCATGTAAATCTTATGACAGTTTCTTACCCATCACAGTTTTATAAAATAGGAAATGAGTTCTGTGTTGTTCTTGACAATTGCAAAATGGATTTAGATTCCACATATTTAATATTTATTCATTAGCTATGATAAGCTGGAAAGAACAGGCCTGCCCATTAACGGATGGGCTACAACAAGTTGAATATTAAAGTTGCTAATTAAATGCTGATTTCCCCGAACACCTCTGTTCTCCTCTCACTCCCAGTGCATCTGACTTAGTGTTGAGAGGGTGACAGATTTTATTTTCATCCTGCTTGCAATTTGAGATTAAATCCTTGTGTCCTTGAAGCAAACACCTGAACTGCATTAGTCTCAGTGGAGCCATGATTCCTGGGGAGCCCTCTCCAGTCTTGCTGTAGCCTCCTCCGTTTCCAAGCATCTGTTCATCTTTTTGATGCTGCTCAGGCCTTGCTGCTGTTAGCTGTGCTTTTTAAAGGCCTGGCATCCATCAATGGCGTATCTAGTTTCAGGAGGAGGATCATTATAGGTGCCAGATGTTTGCAAAACTCCAGTATCACCCCCTGTGCATCAGGCCAAGGAGATATGTCCAGGGCAAAGTGAGTTGCCCAGCACCACAGAGGGTTGCAGCCAGCCTCAGAGGTCTTCATCCTGCCAACGGGGCATTGAAATTGCAGGGCTCTTGCCAGCTAATTTTTACAGGGGCATGTAGCAATAAGATGAGGGGTAAGGGTTTCAACTTGAAAGAGGGTAGATTAGGTTAGACATTAGGAGGACATTCTTTAGCGTGAGGGTGGTGAGACACTGGCACAGGTTGCCCAGGGAAACTGTGGATAGCTCATCCCTGAAGTGTTCAAGGCCAGGTTGGATGGGGCTCTGAGCAACCTGGTCTAGTGGGAGGTGTCCCTGCCTGTGGCAGGAGAGTTGGAACTAGATGATCTTTAAGGTCCCTTCCAACTCAAACCTTTCTATGATTCTATAACTCATTGTCCCCTGTAAATACCTGTGTGTTTAACAGCTAACTCGCCTGTGCTAATACTGGCTGTATTGGGTGAAAAACTGAATGCAAAATAACAAAATAACAGCAGAGACGTTTCCTCACTTCTGTAAGCAAGAGGTTTCTGGGTCTAAAATCACTGTTTAACAACTTAGAGGGTTTATCAGGGATCAGAGCATGACCACACTTGTTGTTGTAGCCCATGTCTTCAGGTGGTTTGCTAACATGGTGTTCACCTGTGACTGTAACTTGCAGCCCAGTCCATCGAGCAGCGGCTGATGAAGATCGATCACACAGCCATCCACCCACACTTACTTGATATGAAGATTGGCCAAGGAAAATATGAACAAGGATTTTTCCCAAAGTTGCAATCAGATGTCCTGGCAACGGGACCCACCAATAACAAGTAAGCACCGGTTTTATTTTCTGGATTTGAAAGCAGGTTTGTCATATCATTGGACAGAAGTCCAATTTTGGATGGATGCTGGCAACTCATTCCATTTCTGGTTTGTATGGGCTGCAGTTTTTTAAGTTATAGCCATGGTTTGGGTTACATCAGAAAGTGTTAGGTCTGGTTTTGGGAAGATTCCTCAGTGCTGGTTTCTGTTGAGTGGTACATACTGTGCCTTCTGATGCATATTTTTATTTTTATCATTGCCATAATAAATTTAAAATTAATTTCTTCACTGTTTGCTCTGAATAAGATAATTTGGGAACCTGAGCTAAAATTCAGATTCTGAAAGAAATTTTGGTATTGAAGCCTCTACACCATGGTGCAGAATGAAATTCATGCCTACACTGTTCCTTTTTTTTTTTTTTTTGTAGCTGTTACTACGTGACCCAAAAATTTGTATAGCTTCCTTTTAGTTTCCATGTTCGAATAACCTGGAAGAATAATTCAGTGAGAGTGGACAGTATATGGTTTGTACCCATACTGCTCTTTTGTGTCTGGTATGGTTTTGTAGGACACTTAGATATGAAGGTAGGCGTGCCTATAGCTGTGGACTCAAGCATGTTATTTCATAGTTGACCTAATGTAAAATGTGAACCTGGAGCAACTAATACACTTCACAAATATATAGTTATGATATAAAGTAAGTGTTGCATCTTACTTAATTTTTGTCTTCCCCTGACGTCTAGGAAAGAGGGGAAAATATCTGTGCATCAGTGATTACTGCTTCCTGAAATTACTAGCTCAGACCCCAACTTGCAATCTTGGTGGTAGGTCAGGATGGAGCACAGCTAAATCTGAGAGCTCTGAAAGCTAGCTAGCTCTTGCTTTAGAAAAGTGTTCACAGATGCTGCTCTGAGCTTCTATATGAGGTGCCCATTCAATTCTCTTTATACACCTTTTGTGCACCTCAGTGCTAGCTAATCCCTTTTTAATAACCTACCAGGAATAAGACTTGCAAATAATAAAATAAGAGATCTTTAAGCACTGAATTACAATGTTTAAAGAATTACAATTCTTTAAAAGAAATTTTAAAAATAATAAATAAAAATATTAATGTGTATTTCAAAGTTCCTTTGTTTGCAGTCTTCTTGCAAACCAAAACAAAAGTTTCTGGGTCATGTTTCCTTGAGGAAAGGAGGATTTCTTCATTGTGTGGGATGCTGTGTATAGGAGTCTGCTTCTTATCCTTATGGTGGGTTTCAGTTTTACAGTGTCAGCAGCAGTGTGAGCTTGCCCAGCCTGCTCAAAGTTGCTTATATCTTCTGGCTCTGTTGCAGAATCTCAGTGAATCTATGAATAAGCATCAAATTAAAAATAGTTTTCCTTATGCCTTTGAGATGTTTCTGTTAGATATTCTAAAACATAACTTTAATTCCTTGAGTGATCATTTTGACTTAGGCAGCTGGTTTTGGTCTTCAAATTGCAGCATGTTTCAGAATTTTCAAGTACCAAAATCCCATTACATTTGTGGTGTCAAAGTGACAAATGCTTGGAATTCCTCCAGCTGTATATTGCCAAAAAGGTTTATAATTGGAAAATCTCAAGACCATCTGTTTATATCTTTCTGCTTCCTGACTTTTTATGTGTGAGCATCTGAGAGGACTCTCATTTAAGACATGTAATTCTGCTGAATTTACACCCACGTATAAAAAAGATAGCCTTTTCATGCTCTCTGCAAATACATCATCATTCTTTTGACCACAAAAATCAGTTGAAGGATAGCAATCCATCAATTTTAATTTCCCAGTGTATGCCTCTTAGAGGTGTCTTATGCTTGCATTTGGGACCAGGGGTGGAGGAGGAGAACATTTCAGCTCCGTTCCCCAGCACTTCACATGTGGCTGTTGTGTATGTTCATAAAGTCAACACAAAGGATATTGCTGTGCAGACCAACATTATTTTTGCAGAGCACAGTTCTACACAGCAAATTTTGCCTTGAGTGTTGTAAGTAAGTGGATTTGCAGGAGGGAGGAAAAGAAATCAATCCCATGTTTTAATGAAAACCCATCACAGAATCACAGAACTGTCAAGGCTTGGAAAGGAACTCTAGAGATCATCTAGTCTAACTCCCCTGCTAAAGCAGGATGGCCTAGAGCAGGACTGCATCCAAGTGGGTTTTGAATGTTTCTATATATATTTTGAATAACTGTTCCCTTCCTGTAGCCAGGTGCACTGCCTGGTGGTTACAGGGCTGTCATATATATATAAATGTATCTGAATGAGAAATATAGTGCAAAGACCAAGCACTTTTAGTTTGCTTAGTCCTTGATCCTCTGTGTGATCACAGAAAACCGTGTTGCCTAGACAGGCTGAAATTCTATTTGGAAGAGGAGTTGCCTGGCTCTCTGGCTTGCAGGGCACAGAGATCAGGGCTTGGGAATGCAGGGAGGGTAGTCAGTCACTTTGGATTACTTCCATCTAACTGCAGCTGGAAACAAGTGTTGATCATATTACCACGTGTAAGTCTTAAAACACCCAAGTCTGTCACAGAAGCAAAGTCTGATGCTGTTTCATCTGTCACCCTGCAGCCGTGCTGGGCAGCAGGCCTTGGCCCACTTCTGTCACTCTGCTGCCTCCTCCTACTTTCCCTCTCGGGTGTCCTCTCAGGGAGTGAACCTGTGCTCCTCTGGTCGCAGGCAGTGTCACATTTCTTCCTGCTTTCTCTCATCTGCTTGGTCATTTGTGGGTTGGGAAAGCCTCCTTTCACATTGGCTTCTATTCTGGCTGGACTGCACATGCACGCGTGGTGTCATTAAGGCTTGTCTTTACCTTTGTGGTGGTAAGAAAATGTTGACTACTTCAGCTAAGCAAGAACTTCACTGAAAACAACTCCAAACTGCACTTGGCTAAAAATAAATCTGAAGTTTAAAAACCCAACAAATTAAAAATAAACAAACAACAACAAAAATGAAAAAGAAAAAAAAAACACAACAAAAAACCTCCAACAAGCTCCCCCCCCAAAAAACCCAAACCAAACCAAAACAAAACAAAACCCAAACCAAGCAGCAAAAAACCAACAACAACAAAAATTGAACACCAAAAAAAAACCACCACCGCAAGACCTCACCTCCATAAACTGAAGTAGAGGCTCCAGGTGTACAGGTTCCCTTATGATCTTTTTGACCAAAACTGCCAGAACATCAAAATAAATTAACTGCAGAATCTGCAGATCTAAACTTAAGCAAAATATGATAACTATTGTATCCAAGTATTCCTAGAAATTAAAATAAACGTTTTTTTTCTGTAAGCAAAGAGTGATTCATCCCAGCGAACAGCAATTTAAAAAAAAAGCCAAGTCAAAAAGAACACCCCACCCAGTTCTGTCCCCTGTCCCATCAAGCAGCAGTGGCCCACTTGCAGAACTCCCTCTGCACTCATCACCTGTGACACAGCCCCCAGGTCATGGGAAAGCCTTCTAAACCTACAGGGAGCAGCTGAACCTCTGGGTTCAGAAATGGCCCATCCATGCTGCTGGGACCATGTAAAGCAGTGACTTCTGCAAAAGTCCTCCTAGATGGAGTCCCAGGAGAAAGCAGGCTGTGGTCCCTTAGGCAGTTTGTTTATCTGGAAATGAGCAGGACTTTCCGGAGTGCTCCTTTCCTTTTTCAAACCCCAGCGACACGTTGTGGTTTCTGCATGTTCCCCTTTTCCTTCCCCACGTGTTTTCTGCCACGCTTTTAAAAACTGTAGCTGGGACTCTGCTAGCTGATGCCATCTGCAGTGATGAAGGAAAGGAATTTGAATGACAAAAAGCTGAGCTACATAAACATTTCATGGTTTTTGATTAGCTAATTGTTAAATTAGGGTAAATATGCTTGCAGTGCAAAATTAAAACAATGAAACAAGCTGTGTTTTCAATCTAATTGATTACCTTATAACTTAATTTGTACTAAGAAGCTTAATAAATGAGATTAAATATTGCAGAGGAAAACACTGATTGCACACTAAGCATGGGAATATATTTGCACTCTGGCAATTTGCAGTGAATGCCTGCTAAGAGCAACTGAACTGATAGTTTTTTTCTTGAATTCTTTTCATTTTCAAAGGAAGGTTTTGCTTTGTATGCATCTACAAAATGTCTTAAATTATCCTTTTTTGCCTTTCTCTTTTTTAAGTCCTGTTTTCACCACCTTCTTTATCTGCTCCCTGCTTTCCTCCTTGCTTCCTCTCCTGACCAGCCTGTTTCCTCTTTCCTGCCATGTCACCTCTCTCCTGAGCCCTCTCTCTTGTGCCTCAGCTTCCTGTGAGCTTCATGCTTTTGACTGTTCTTTGTGTCCTATCTGACCTGCAGTGATACTCCCAGGAGGGCACAGTCCAAGTCTTCCAAGCACAGATCCTGCTGCACTCTCCCTTCTACCTTTAGGCTTTAGCTAAGTGATATGTTGTTCTAACCCACAAAGCAGATTTGAAAAGAACTTGTTCGCTTTCTCCAGGCATTTGTTCCTGTGCTGTGTTTTGCTGACCTCACCGCTGTGTCAGTGCTTATTTGTTAAAAATCATGCATTAGGAATGTACTAACTCGGTTCACTTCTGTGCTCCAATTTGCAGCACAACTTGTGTGGGCACTGTCCTGTGGCCTCTGTCACCCACACCCCCCTGCCCCCTTCAAATTCTGAACTGCCCAGGGTTTATCTGCCTGGTGCTCTCATTGTCCTGAATTTTAAGTAAGACTACTGTTTACATATTCATGAACAGTAATATCAGTGTATGTTTTTCAAGAAAATATCATATATATACACATATAATGTGGTCTGTCTATTGTACTAAGTGCTTCATATTATATGTGCTTTTCCATCTCCCTACATGGTGGGCACTGTTGTAAGTGTCTGTCTTTGATGAAGCTTTTTTTTGTCTCCCTCAAGTAGTATAGAATAGGATCTCTGCAATGCATCTAAATGAGTGAGAAATGAGTCAGCAATGAGCCATCCACACACACAACACTGGTGTTATTT